ACGGGGTTTGGGAATGGGAATGGGAATGGGGGACTGGGAATGGGAATTGGGAATGGGAATTGGGGAGTGGGAATGGGAATGGGAATGGGAATGGGAATGGGAATGGGAATTGGGAATGGGAATTGGGGAGTGGGAATGGGAATGGAGAATGGGAATGGGGGACTGGGAATGGGGATGGGGTTTGGGACAGGTACTGGGAGTGGGGATGGGAATTGGGGACTGGGAATGGGACTGGGAATGGGAATTGGGGTTTGGGGCTGGTACTGGGAGTGGGGATGGGAATTGGAGACTGGGAATTGGGGACTGGGAATGGGGACAGGTACTGGGGTATGGGAATGGGGGAATGGGAACTGGGAATGGGAACTGGGAATGGGGGACTGGGAATAGGAATTGGGGACTGGGAATGGGAATTGGGGTTTGGGAACTGGGGTTTGGGAGTGGGAATGGGACTGGGAATTGGGACAGGTACTGGGAAGGGGAGTGGGACTGGGAACGGGAATGGGGACTGGGACTGGGAATTGGGGTCAGGAACTGGAGACTGGGGTTTGGGACTGGGAACTGTTTGGGACTGGGAACTGAGCACAGGGACTGGGGTCAGGGGCTGGGACTGGGGACGGGAATTGGGAATTGGGGTCAGGAACTGGAGACTGGGGTTTGGGACTGGGAACTGTTTGGGACTGGGAACTGAGCACAGGGACTGGGGTCAGGGGCTGGGACTGGGGACGGGAATTGGGAATTGGGGTCAGGAACTGAGAATTGGGGACTGGGAACTGGGGTTTGGGACTGGGGTCGGGGCTGGGCTGGATTTGGGACACTGGGATGGGGTCAGGGGGCACAGGGCACCAGGGCCAGGCACTGGCTGCTGCCCCCCCACAGGACCCCCCCCCGGAGACCCCCCCCGACGGCGACGCTGACGGTGAGCACGCGGCCCTAATTAACGCGGCCCTAATTAACGCGGCCCTAATTAACACGGCTCGGCCCTAATTAACGGGACTCTTCATTCCCCTGCCTCCCCCAGGAGCCCGGCGGAGCCCCCTGCAGCCCCCCAAAACCCAGCCCCCCCTCCTCCTGCAGTGCTGCCAAGGCAGGTAGGGCAGAGCCCCCTGAGACCCCTCCCCAAAACCCCCCCG